AGAGAAAGAGGAGGAGAGTTAGGGACGAGTAAAAGAGAAAGTTGGCGATAGAAACGTTTTTTGGAGCCATTTTGATTTTTGATTCAGACCAGAATGAAAAGTTGCTTTACCTGTTTACGTCTGTTTATCTGTAAGTCTAACTTTATGTAGTATTCTAATAGTTTTTCATACTAGTAGTAGTTTATTTGATCATTTTGCAGCACTACAAAACAAAACAAAAGCTGAACTAAAACGTATTTCTAATGCCTAACCCTATTAAACACCAATTCTGAACGTAAAACTGCACCAGAAACAGGTAATAATTTGCACGTTAGTACAAAATAAACAACTGATTTCTGATGAACTGCCAAATAAAATGTGTAGTAGCTTTGTTTGCATGCAAATACACCTTATTATTAAGTAAGAATAACACTGGAAGACACTAAAACACATTTTGGTGCATAAAGTAGATGAAAAATGTATGGTCGATTTAAAACAGTAAAGACGCTTTAAAAAAAGAACCAAAAACACATTTACTATATCGCCCCTAGTGGCAAAACAGGATTATCGAAATAAACTGCTATATTTGAAAAGTAGTGATGAGAAAGAAGGAGTTGAGATGGAAAAATGTCAGAGAGAGAGCTTAAAATCAAAATATCAAAATCAAAATAAAACTTGAAATGTGTGTTTTTAGTCACTCAACATTTTGCATTCTAACATCTCACTGCATCCGTTCTATTAAAACTATGTTCTGGTTATCAATTTAGCAATCCATGAGTTTTCAAAATGATGAAAATTTTCGACTGTTGGCAAAGAATTCATAACAAAGTGTCGTAATTTGATTGATTGACGAAAAGTGCTCAAAATGTGGTTGTAAACTGGAAGCTTTGAGTCATTAATTCGCTATAGACGCACTAGAATAATTGCATCTTATGTGAAAATAGGGCTTTTATTTTGATAAGTTACCTGCTTCACCAATAAAATCCTCTCCCTACTGTATTTCTTGAACAGCAGTGAACACAGGAAGCCCGTACAGAAAATAAACAAGTCACCAATCGTCAACCGTTTGTCGCCATTTTGTTCCTTGCCCAGAATTAAAAGTCATCTTGCCTCTCCATGCATCCATCCATCTATCTATCGTTGTGTCCACCCATCCTCCCTCCCTCCCTCTCTCCCTCTTTCCCTCCAACCACTGTGTCCATTAGGGCTAAAGCATTTTGATCAAGCGGGGCCCTGGGCTGAGAATACATAGTCTCCTGATGTGTGCCAGCCTCTGATTGACCATTAGGGCCATTGACGAATGTGGCTGTCAGGATCCAGACAATTAAATCAAATATGAAACAAAGTCGCTCTGACGGGGGCGCTTTTCTGATGGAGCTAACCAGTCTTCCGCCTCGCGATTAAGCTAATAGTTGTATTTTTCACCGCACTATAAAGACTATTCCTGTTTACTCGCGTTGTGTGTCAGGACGGACGAAATCGCGAATTATCAGATCGCGATTTTTTCGGGCGAATGGCGCGATTTGAGTTTCGATTTGGGTTTTAATGCTTAGATTCTGTTCAAAGTCTGCCCAGAAGTATTAACATTCAAGAGAACACTAGATTTTGAGAGATATCGTTTTTTTTCATGGCGATGTTGATAAAATTTTTAGAAAACAACCGATGGCCGAGTCAGTTTTTAAGTTTACTACAAAATCGCCCACAACTCTTTTCAGTAGTTACGTTTTGTGCAACTATCTCTTCGTATTTAAGTGTTAATATAAAGCTTTGTGTATTTTTAGGCAGCAAAACGACGAAAACAAAATATCGGCCTCTGCTGTACCTGATACACTAAAAAGTCCAAATATCGGTCCGATATTGATAGAGAAGACAAGAATCACATGCGTTTCAGAACGTGTTTGTAAAGTTCTAAACTACAGGACTTATTTTAAGGCAGCAAATTGACCAAAACAAAATATCGGCCTCTGCTGGAGATTTAAGGCCGATACCTGATACACTACAAAGTCCAAATATCGGTCCGATATCAGTAGCGAAGACATACAATTTCAGAACGTGTTTGTAAAGATCTAAACTACAGGACTTAGTTTTAGGTGGCAAATTAACCAAAACAAAATATCGGCCTCTGTTGGAGATTTAAGGCTGATACCTGATACACTAAAATGTCCAAATATCGGTTCGATAAATAGCCAACCAAGAGAAGACTAATACATGAATCTCATGCATTTCAGAATGTATTTGGAAAGATCTAAACTACAGGACTTATTTTTGGGCAACAAAACAAAATATCGGCATATGTTGGCCATTAAAGGCCGATACCTGATTCACTAAAAAGTCCAAATATCGGTCCGATAAATCACAACCAAAAGAAGACTAAGGCAAGAACCTGATGCATTTCAGAACATGTTTGGAAAGATCTAAACTGCAGGACTTATTTTTGGGTGCAAATTGACTAAAACGAAATATCGACCTCTGCTGGAGATTTAAGGCCGATACCCGATACACTAAAAAGTCCAAATATCGGTCCGATATTAGTAGAGAAGACAAGAATCACATGCATTTCAGAACATGTTTGTAAAGATCTAAACTACAGGACTTAAAAACTAAAATATTCGTGGTCGTTGAAATTTCCGATTCAATTGTGATTAACCGTGCAACCCTGACGTGTATGAATGTGTGTGTGTGTGTGTGTGTGTGGTATGCAATTAAAATCTCTTCTGTGTTTGTAGGTAAAAGTCAAAAGCAATATTTCTTCGATGCAAGAAGTAGCAAACAAGAGCGTGCAGAAGGTAATACGGCCTAAAATAAAAAGTTAAAGGTCGAACATAAATCACAGCAATTCTGTATTAGAAGAACAGGGGCGTACGCAATGACGCCATCTTTGTTACAGTATGCGGCACAGACCAAATATTAGAAGCATGTTTACTAGAGTCGATACGTAAATCTTAAAGTACAATTTCAAAACACACAAGTTGGGTTTCTGTTAAATGAAGTGGCATATCGAATAGGCCTATTGAAAAATGGTTAATGCATTTGCAAGCACGAAAAACAACGCAAATGAGTCTTATAATATTGAAACTTTGACAATTTTCGTACAATTTTCTTTCCTATTTGTCCATTTAACTTAGCTTCAACTTAGAAATAAAAACTAAAACTAAAAAATAAAACATGACATTAAAAATTTCACCTGCATTTGACGCAACTCAGTCATTTCGTAGCTGTAACACAAACTGTTCTATTACTCGAAAGCCAACTAAAGTCTTCCATAACTGGCAATTCAAATCAAAGTTTTAATTGCAAATAGTTTTTCCAATAACGTAACACACTTTTTCGTAAATAGATAGAATTTCTTGCCATAGTGCTTGTTTAAAATAGAATCGCACACAAAAAGGTCGGAAATGCAAGTCAATAAAAGGAGAGCGAAAACAGATAAATAGCCGCAATTAAAAGCCAAGCGTTAATGGCTACAAGTTTGTGAGGCCAGACGTGACTTCAGAGAGAGAGAGAATGAGCGGATGGGGAAAGAGAGTGAAAGAGAAAGAAAGAAAGAAAGAAAGAGAAGGAGGTGGTGGAGGAGGAGGAGAAAGAGAGAGAGAGAGAGAGAGAGAGGGAGAGAAAGAGGGAGGGAGACTTGATTTATTGACACTTATCGGGAATGAACAGATCAAAGGCTGGCCGGCATGACGGGTGATCAATCAGGCATCAAATCAAAGATCAAATCAAAGATGGCGATTGTCCATTAAAGTCCGCTTCCAGTACACTCCCTCCCTCTCTCGCTCCTTACCCGAGCTGTAAAATAATCTTTAGGCTGAGGGCGAGAAAGTCTTTCCCAGAAACTGAAGAGAAAAGCGGAGTTGATAGAAAAGCAAAAGTGGCATGTGTAAGATTGTCGAGATGTTACAAAGAGGATGCAAGCGTAAAAAAAATTGTGGAAAAGTTATAAGAAAAAAAAAAACAAAAACTATAGGACTATGAATATATGATGTTCAGGATGAAAATGTGAAGTTTCAAATAATGCAAAATGGTAACTAAATTAAATTCACTGCAAAACAAAAATCTATTCTGCCACTCAAATGTGTTTCATTCTTTGCATCATTTCCAAATTTTCAAAAGCCTGCAATCTATCTCTGCAAATCTCTGAAAATATGAAGCCATCCCTTCTTGCTTAAAGATGCTCAACATTTGTTTTAACTTATAGACAATACGTTACAACTGAAATCAGTGCATTTTTAAATAATGGAAACCAGATGAAAACAATAATAAACCGTGCAAAAATCTGTGTATTCAAAGCGGTCGAGATCACAAGTTGCTTTGGTACAAAGAGTGTCAGCTGACCCTAACACTTCACCAATTGTCTCAGCTACACTCTATGGATCTCTAATTCTTTAGTCAATAAGTACAAGCCCAGGACCAGGAGCAGACCGGAGAGTGGATGGTGGGGGCATGTTTCAGAGACGGAAATGTTCATAGTAAATACAGGGACGTGGTTAAGAAAACTGATTTAAAATAAAGGCGTTTATGAAATGAGTGCATTAAAACAGACGGTTCTCTAAAGGGACAAAACAGCTCTGCTCTACTCTTGCCCTCTGCAGGAACTCTGACCTGTGACCTTTAGAAGTGTTGCAACTATTTACTCTGAGCATTGTGTGTCACCTGTAAATGTCCAAACTTGTGTTCAGCTGGCAAGCGTAGCAGCTAACTAATGTAAACAGAATGTAAACATGTGTTTGAGAGAATGTCAGTAAACCGCTCTCAGCATGATGTAACCGAATAGGGCACAGATGATAGCAGTTGTCTATCAGGGGAATCATTACTGCGCGCATTACAGGACATGTGCTGTGGAAGGCTGGGAAACTTGTACTCTGAGTGCTTCAACAAAAGATGCTTTTGCGGTTCCATAATGTGGGAAATGTCAATGAAAAGTAAGTGAATGAGGGAGGGGTGGTAGCAGGGGGCACGGAGGGAGAGAGCAGAAAGAGAGAGATAGCTGTAGAGTTGGCATACAAAGCCGAGTCAGTGCGTACCTGAGGCGCGCCGGGGCGCTTGCTGCTTCCTCCGCGGCATGTTGCACTGTTGCGGCCCGCAGTCCGGGGGATTCTTCTCCTCTCCTGACCCCCGGTGATCCGATCACCCGAGGCTGCCTCGGGGGATCCGCGAAACCTTTGATACACAGTTCCCCCCGTGGGTGTGCTCCTAGGGCTCCCACATAGAGAGGAGCGGAGTGTGCGTGCGCGGGGCGTGCGTCTGACGAGGACGTTCGAAAACAAAACACAAAAAAGGTAGAAGCGAAGAGGAGCAGATGATGGGGCGGGAAAGGCAGCGTGGATTCCCCGTGCCGCTGCTCGCTCTGTGTCCGCCTCTCTCTCGGATAGACAGAAGAGACTCCGCGGTAGAAAAACCAAACAAGGATCGTTAAAAGCGTCAGGGTGATCCTCTGTAGTTGTCGTCGAGGGCTGAAACTGGGAAGCTTGAAGAAAGGAATAAAACAAACGTGGCGTCAGTCAAAAGTCCGCAAACAACGGGGACAACAACACATCAAGAGCTGCCACAACTGAAGCCCTGCGCCTCCTCTACGGTTCAAGCTCTCCGCCGCTGATAGGCGTCACGTAGCTCTCTGTCTCTCTCACTCACACGCACACACACGCTCACAAGCCCTCTCTCACTCCTCGTGCTGTCTCCCACAGCCCTCGCGCTCCCGTACTGTCATTCACAGCTTGATCCGAGCTCAAAACGAGCTGCGGTGAAAAGGAAACAGTGAGCGTAAAATGTAAAACACCATGTGTAAGGTGCACGTGTACACGTTTCCATTTAACCTGCACTAGAATGGACATGCACTGTTCGCTGACTGACGTGAAGGCGTCACGTATTCACTTTACTTACTTTGTGCTGTCGATATCCTCCAAACACACACGCGACTCAAAGCAGCCGTGTACACGGAAGCGTAGCGTTAAAATCCATTCTGAACTGAAGCGGTTTGTTTCTTGGTTGAGGAAAGCAGAAGAAAAATGAGGAGGTGACAGTCAGGAGCGGTCGCTAACACGCGCTGCCCCTTGTGCGTCTTGCGTGGTGTACTTTTGACTGCTGTTTTGTCCAACACAAATCCACTCTAGGGGGCAAGTCACTCAGTCACTCTTGAGGTTAAGTGTACGTGCGTGTGCGCGTGTGTGAATCGATGAGATGCGCGCTTGATTGGGTCTCCCTTGTTGTAATAATGTACATGAGGAAAAGGAGGAGGTGGTGGAGGAGGGACGGGCTCACGCATGCCGCATGGCTCAAGCGCAACGACTTCTTCTAGCGACTGTAGAGCCAAGCACTTTGTCGGTCGTTGCTGGTACTTTTCAAGTCCCTTTTACCTGGCGTGGAGCTACTTCAACCAGTCTCGCTTGAATGCCACGCAAAACACTTGCTTCAAACAGATTTTGAATTTTTACAGGTAAGCTCCTCGCTCCAAACACAAGTTTCTTTTTGCCTTTTCAGTGAAGCGTAAAAGTTTTGAAGCCGTTGCTGGATCATATGTTTTCCTTTGTTTTTTAGGCGCCCCTCGAAGAAGCAGGCAAAGGAGAGAAGAGTGCTGAAGAGGAGGGCAGTGAGGGTGAGTTGCCTAAAGGCTGTCTCTCTCTTCCCTGTGCCAGATGTGCTACCTCCGCTGCCACAGCCGCTGCTGCCGCCTGCCTGCTGCTACAGAGCCTCGTCTCTCGCGCTCGTCAACACAGAAGGCGCTCCTTTCGTCGTCCCTGATCCGCCTGGGGAATCAGATCTACCCCGCGTGTGTCTTAAAACCCCCGAGTGCGTCCGCTGCTTCCTCGAGGTTCTTCTTTCCACCGATCGACGTTGTTTTCGCCCTAATCTCGTCGCCGAAATGTGTGCGCCGCTCCACCACTGCGTGCCGTTAGATCCGCCCAAGCATCTGTCCGTCTTTCCATTGGCGCATCCATCAGTGTCACACACACATACTCGCGCGCGCACACTACTACAATACCCCTCCCACCCGACAGTTTACACTCAAACATAACGCACACGCACGCGTACACACAGGGGTGCATGCGCGCGCTCACGGGCAATGGAGAGCTCTCCTCGCGGTGTGACTGACACAGTACGAGCTGTGAGAAGCCCGTCAGCGAGCTCCTGGCGCTGCCTTTGATACACGCAGCAGCTGTTTGATCTGCTCTGAGACACTTTGGTCTCCAAATAAAGCAGCAACGATAGGTAAAAGTGCTGATGAAAACTATTACTTTGATTTTAAACTCTTTTAGATAATTTGCCTGCTTGATGTTTGAGGTATTTTGCTCTGTCCATTTGCTGAAAATGTGACTTGATCAATAGTTTCACTTTGTTCGGAAGAAAGTGGAATCTTACAAAGCCAGAATGAGTACGACCCAATAGATGCCTTAATTTCAATGCAAAATAATAATAATAATTTCACTTTTTTGAACTGTAGCATACCTGACTCTTCGTGCACATCACACGTGCGTTTTTATATCCTAAATATTACACTTTTCCATCATTAACCCTCCGTCACAAATATTATCACTGCAAATATCTACTTTCATAATTTGAACACGAGAAACAAATTCACTTTTACTCTAATTTAAAATGTTCTGAAAATGAGAATATCCATATGTTAAGTTCAAACTACATGGAACATTTTTGAAAATCACGATAAAATATGGTTGATGAAATAATACCCACATTTAATCTGCGCATTTTCAACTCATTTACGATTTAATCACACGCACCGAGACAGTCTGTAACATGATCAAATATTGTTTAGTTTAGAGGAACAGAATTCGAGCCTTCACTTTCTCTGGGAGACGGAGTTCAGTGCGTGCGCAGCGGAGGTAGGTCCTAGGATTTATGCAGCAGCCTGCTCAGTGGCTTTGGTCAGGAAGTTCACAACAACAGACTGAAAACGTAATTTGTAAACGATTAAGGGCTGTTCTTAAAGCATCATTATAAATATGTCATACTATTCTTAGAAAAGCTATGCTCTCTGTAAGCACCATGAAGGATTACGCACTTGTTAAGAAAGACCTGGAAGTTTTAAGTCCAGTAATGATTAACTGTTCAGTGCTTTTAATAAGACTAAATGAACAGAATATTTTCATGATCTTCTTAATTAGGCTACTAGTATAAAACTGGATATTATTGTTATTATTATTATTATTATTTATTTACCGAGCTTAATCAGACGTCCTATATTTACAAATGCGTGTCAATACAGGCCAAATAATAGACTTAAAGACAACCAAACTCTTAAGTTCCGTGTGTGTGTGATTGTTTGAGGGGCAGAGAGGACGGAGATTACGCAGAGAAGAGTGTACAGTAATGGTAAAGTTCATAACGTTTCATTTTTAACGTGTTTTTTTAATTTTGATTTACGTATTACATTTAGATTTCTTAAAAACAACTGACAATTGTGAAGTCGAGTAAAGATTCAAAGAAGGAAAAACAGGCTACAAATGCAGACAGTCAAGTTTCTGAATGTACATTTTTGTCAAATATTCTACGCGTAATTAGGAGAATATCCAATTATGTTTGTAGTTTTATTATAGTGATGCGTGCTGGACACAATGGACAAAATTAAAAATGTAGGAACAGAAATCATAACTAGACTAACTAATAATTATTAACTTTTGTTTTAAGATGAGCTACCAATTGATTTTACGCACAAGTTTTCATAAATGCGTAAAATATGGATTTATCCTAAACTTGGGTAAAATTAAACAGTTTGCTTTTTTATATAAATTGTTTCAAGTATCCAGTGTGAGTTTCATGCAAGGGATACTTGACAATCATAATGTGTTAAAAAAAATAGATGTTTTCCCCGTTTGACCGAATGTCTGTCATTGCGCGTAAAAGCGGAGTGGTTTTACGCATTAAACAATTTGACACTCGCGTATGTGACTCATGTCCAAGTGCCTTTGCTCCCGTACATTTTGATAGTCATAATGTGATTTGATGTAGCATTATTACGCACCAAAAATAGGTTTCCAACGAGCCTTTTCTTCCATGTGTGTGTAAAAAGTTATTGAAGAGTATAGTAGATTCTAGAAGCCTACAGTATTGCTTTGTGTGTTACTGTACATTTGTGCCTGTGTGAGGCAATAGAGGAGCAGGAGAGAGGGGGACTCGGGACCCTGCCTCGCACCGCTGCTCAGTCATTACGCACGGGTCCAAGGGTCTCTCCGCAGACGCACTGAACGTTTTTACGCACGCCGTGATCAGAGTGTAGTTTATCCTCCATAATGCCGCTGTGGTCAACTATTCTGAATCAAAATAAACGAAAAAAATATTTTGAAATTTTGTGAGAAATGTGTGCGCGTGTAATGTTGATAAGCGAGTTCCTGCTGATCTTGGAATAATAGAAAACTAAACAACTTGTAACCAAATCCAAACATTTATAGCAAGCTGGTTTTGTGCGTAAAATCCCCCCAACGAGTCCAAATAGTCGCTGTGTGTCCTAAAGTGTTGCGCGCCAGAGTGCAACTAGCGTGATTTATCTGTGCGTCCCGGCGCTCTGCACACACACGGCCGTGATTTCCTTCCCCTCTTTCCCCCTCTCTTCTCCTTCTTCTTCTCCCTCCTCGCGCACGGTGATCACATTGGCGTGGAGAGGCGCACCGGTTTCACGGCATACTACTGGTTTCTAGTAGAGTGGATAAAGAGCCAGGGGGAGGGACAGTGCGCTGCGCAGCGGTGGGACTGACTGCACGGGAGGAGAAAAATGTATGTACCCTCAACTCTTGGCTGTTACACCAAAATTTGAAAATACTCATGAGGCCACAGTGCTACGATTGTTTTTCTCATGTAAATATGTCAAAATAAAAATAAAAAATCTCGAACAAAATATTAGTATACTTTTGTAAATATAGTTCTGAATCTAAAGTGTCCAAATGATGTCCAAGGTTTATAATTTGAGCTTACTTTTCTGAAAGAATGGTGTCCTAAAAACGTAACTTTCATAAACACTTTCACTTAAACAAAAAAATATTTACCCCAAAATGAAAATAAATTCAAATCTGGAATATCTCATAATGCATGTTTGTAATATTTGACACAATTAATCAGAGTCTGAAATGATTTGCTTTGCTTGTTTTGAAATAAATGTGAGATCGTAAAAGGAGTCATTTTGAAATTCAGTTCAAATTCATTGCTTTAGGTCGATTGCCAATGATGCACTGACTCAGACATTCACCTACTTATCCTCCTTATCAGATGTAGGAGTAGCCAAAAAGGTTCTCAACTGTTCTGCAGACTCAAGTACAAACTGTCCCCTTGTGATAAACAAAATTAAAATAAAATATAATGTAATAAATAACACCTTGAAAAACACCAAACCCCAACTAACTTCCACTTTCTTCTTCTGACACTGTTTTTTGATTTTTGCCTCAGCCTTGGGCCATGCCTCTGGCTAATATATCCCGCTATTGTCTTCTCACCTCAACTGAAGCCACTTTTTATTATTATTATGTAGCATGAACCTCCACCTTACAATTCAGTGACCTCCAAAAGTCATCTCCGACCAACCAGCAAACCAACGCGACTGGCATTGATTTAAAAAAAAAAAAAAATTTGCATGTCCAGAAAGAAAGAAGTAAAACGGGGCCAGCCTCTCCTCGGATAACCCTGAAAAAGTTCGAAAATTGTCCCTAAAAAGTAAACACGTTGACGGGTTGAGAGAGACGGAGTGGACGCTGTCTTTCTTTTCGGCGTTCCCCCTGCGCACCCCCTACCCCTCCACCTCCTCTTTCCAAAATGCCCCCTCCCCACCCTTCTTCCTCCATCCCTCCGCTCCCTCTCTTTTTCTCTTTCTCTCTTCTCCCCCCCCCCTGCCTGGACGTTTGGCTGGGCTGCGGAGCTAGCAGGGTTGAGAGGCCAAGTGCTGACCAGCTTTCTTTCTCTTCTGTCTGCTGTTACTAGGTCACCACGCATACACAACCGTACACACACACACACACAGACATGCACACACACACACACACACAAGTCTATGCACCTCTCCTCGCGGTCAGTGTTTGCCACTAGGGAGAGGGGTAATTTAAGCCCTCCTTGATGTAGCCTATTCATCACTGTCCCGTGCACGACGCTTCAAAATTAAAGCCTGATCTACAAAGTTAGACTCAAATGAGAGCGGGATTGGCAGGGGTCAACAAATGCCAGTCGAGTCAATATATGCCGTATGTAGTTTTGTGTGTAGTATTTTGTAGTATATTTACGTATATCGCTGGAGCAAGTATATCACAAAATGAAGATAGAAGAAGAGAAATTGTGCAATAGTACTAAACAGATCTGAAGAAGTTTGTGGTTAATAATGTGGATATTTTGGCGTTTTATTCCGATTTCAGTTTCCTGTTACAAGCAACATTTTTGAGGCCTTTTTGGTGTTTGTTTGTTTCAGTTTTTTACGGTCCTGATTCTGTAAATATACACGGTTACTAGTGAAAGCGAGATTTATTTGAAATTCTGTACATTCTCAAGCAAAAAAACTGCAATAAAATATCAGTTTCTACATTAAATTATCATTTCTGTTTCTTTTTTGGAGCTACTTTTTCTTGCACATATTTCAAGAAGCACTAGAAAAAAAAACTGTAGCTCTAGTCGTGGGTTTCAGCATGAGTAAACATGAGGACAGTCGCCATAGCAATTAAGAATTCAAAACGAAATATTACACCTCTGGAACGGTCAACTGTCCTCAAAATGGCACCGTATCACAGAAAGCTGAAACCCACGGAAGCTCTAAGGCCAAATATATTTATAACTATACTGAGGCCTGATGAGGGTTGTCAAAAATATCGAAAATCTGATACTAAACGATACTAAAACTAGATACTCCTTTGAAATAAGCGTCGATGCTGAAAATGTTGGATTCACAGGACAAAAATGAACCTTTCTTGAATAGTTTTAGAATGATTTTGAGCTGTTTCAGAACTAATATAAG